CCGTTGCCGGTCCCGGTCCGGTACGGGCGCGACACTGAGGGTTGCGATCCGTTGCCGGACACGGAAAAAGGACAAAAAGGAAAAAAAAAAAAAGAGGACACTTGTTTACAGCATGAGAGCTGAAAACAAGAAGGCAGAAAGTCACCTTGTTTAGCCATAGATAGGAATGCACACTCAAGCAACTCAATTTTCACCAGTCTGCACATACATGTCCCCTAGTAAAAGCGATGTATTGATTTTGGAGTTACAAAGAAATTTTAGTGAGCAGACAAATTCACAAATGCAGAATCCATGAATAATGAGGATTGATTACACAAGAAAAACCCAATTAAATAAATTTCACGGGAAATATTTTAGTACTTCAATCCAGTAAATTTATAAATGTGAGGATTTACATATTGGTTATTAGGAATGGGCAAAACTTTATGACAGTTTTTAAATCATCACACAAAAAAACCCATTGAAGCATTCTTCTTAAGTTTTCAGATGAAGAGTAAAGATGGAAAAATTATTTCAAATGTATTGCCCATCCTTTAAAAATAGTAATTAGGGGTAAAATTCTACAGAAAGACATCAAAAACCTGTTTGCAGCTTTAGCAACATAATTTCTTACAAGCAATCTGCTTCCAATATTTTTTTAGGGAAAAATCAGATATGTTTACCCATTACTATTACACATTAAAAAGTTCATAAAGATAAAAGTAGCCTGAAGTATTAAAACAAGATATAAGATGTAATATAACAAGATTATGATGTATTAAGTTAAACTACAATGCTTATGCAGGCATAAAATAGTGAAAAGACAATTAATGTAGACAATTAGAAATGAAAACCTAACATATTATTCAAGCAAGCATCTTAGTAAAATTTTAAAATTTAATTTAAAATTTTCTAATTTTATCCAATATAACCATGTGTGTCCAGTCTGCATTTCTACTCATCATAACAAAATTTATATACATATATGCAAATATCATCTAATCACAATGACACTTGAAATTTGCAATAGTGAAAATGAAAACATAAGTTAATTAAGACCAGAAGAAAATTAAAAAACTAGAAATCAAGTCAAAGCCACCAACATTTTTTCTTTTCAAATTTCAGATGATGTTCACTGCAGCATGTTTTTAATAAGGAAAAACTAGAAAAATTTGTCTTTTAATAAAAGACATTTAAATCATGGAATTGTACACAGTCTTTAAGAAGAAATGAGCTACACTATATTTATACACACACACCTACATACACACACAGATCATATAGACAGATATAGATATGGCCTTTAATTTAAAATGGGAAATATATATACATTAGACAGACAAGCAAAAATGTTTATAACATATTATTAAGGAAAAAAAGGCAAGTCGTACAGTAATATGTATATGATTCCTTCTGTGAAAACCAGATTTGTTTATATATGGCTACACATTAATCTGCTAACAAGGAAGGAACTTTGGCAATTTCATTTTTTACAATAAGCATGTATAAGTTTTATAAGCATACAGTAGGTTCTCAACAAACGTTAAGTTTTCTTTTCTTGTTATGGCCATTCTAAGAATAAAATACTGTGATATAAAATTCATGTTGTTTGAAAATGACTGCTATAATTTTCATTTATTCAAGTAAATTCTGCTAAATACAAGTATAATTAAAAACAAACACTTCCCAGTTGAAAAACAGAATTTTAATAAATGTTCTAAAAATATTCTCAAAAAACGTTCTCAACACTCACTAATCCCCAAAACTGACATGTTTAATGTTTTGTAAAAGGGATTTACAAACTTTTTCTATAAGGGCCAGATAGCAAATATTTTAGGCTTTGTAGGCACACATGGTCTCTGTTATATATGTTTTGCTTTTTTCTTTTCTCTTTTTTCTACAACTCCTAAGAAATATTGGGGGGGGGGGGGGATT